GTGGTTAAGACATTGGTTTGGTGAAGTTGTTGTAGTCTTGCCTCCGTATTACCCAATAGTCCTTGAAGGTGATGTACTTCATCCTTGTACTCTTCCTGGATCTCCATACCACGCTGATGGATCCGTCGTGCACCATGTTCCATTAGGGCACCTCGGCGTTCAAGGTCTTGGATGCGTATTGTTGCACCTTCGTCTTCCTGAGATGCTACCATTAGTTCTGCTTGATATTCTGCAACCTCATTTGCGGAACATGACAATCTATGATTGAGTGCATTGACCTCATCAAATACGTTCTGGTTGTGTTCCTGAAGATACTCAGTGAATCTGATCTCGATGTCATGAATCAGTTGATCTCTAGACGCAGCGTATGCTTCCATGTGGTTCAACTGATTACGTAGGGATTGACATTGTGCCCGTAGTTCTTCTATCATGGCAATAGGTTCACTAGCCACAGAAGTATCCGTTGATCTCCTCTTAACACGACTATCCCCGGTCCTCTCACCAATTCGGTCGGTTACGGCCCTGGTGGATCTGTCCCTTGGGGTAGTTCGTCCTCGAGACGGTCGATGCCCTTGGCGGACAACATCACTTCGAGCACTGTTTCGAGAAGATCTTGGTGTACTTTGGGTGGATATTCTTCGTCTGTTTGATGTAACTTGCCATCCGGACTGTGTAGTTCGGGTAGAGCGTATCCCACCACTGTCTGCCGTGTCACCAGGGGAAGATTGATTGACCTCCTCGACCGGCATAGCAGTGTTCTCATTGAAGGTAAACTGCGTGGTGCGCGAATCTCCGCTGCCGCCTTGCATCTTTGCGATGATGAGCTGATTGGTCCTTTGCGTCCTCAATCGATTGCTCAGAAGGCCCGGCTACCAGCACGCAGGTACCACTCTCCCGACGGGAGAAGTGAGCCCTACGGCTGATAACCTGTGAACAAATGAATCCTTGTTCTGGATACCGTTTAGTTGGAGGTACCGGCAATGCTGGTTGTAACCGTGACCCTCAAAGCATGGCGGTCGGAGCGCGACTATTTTCCTTGCAGTGGGCGCTTGAGCCATAGTGGCGTCCCATGAAGTTGTTGTCTACATTACACACATGAATTGTGTGTGCTATGATTGCGTTCCCTTTGACACATACATACATACATACATACATACATACATACATACATACATTACATACATTACATACATTACATACATTACATACATTACATACATTACATACATTACATACATACATACATACATACATACATACATACATACATACATTACATACATTACATAAATTACATACATTACATACATTACATACATTACATACATTACATACATTACATACATTACATACATTACATACATTACATACATTCCATACATTCCATACATTCCATACATTCCATACATTCCATACATTCCATACATTCCATACATTCCATACCTTCCATACCTTGCATACCTTGCATACATTGCATACATTGCATACATTGCATACATTGCATACATTGCATACATTGCATACATTGCATACATTGCATACATTGCATACATTGCATACATTGCCTACATTGCATACATTGCATACATTGCATACATTGCATACATTGCATACATTGCATACATTGCATACATTGCATACATTGCATACATTGCATACATTGCATACATTGCATACATTGCATACATTGCATACATTGCATACATTTCATACATTGCATACATTACATACATTACATACATTACATACATTACATACATTACATACATTACATACATTACATACATTACATACATTACATACATTTCATACATTACATACATTACATACATTACATACATTACATACATTACATACATTACATACATTACATACATTACATACATTACATACATTACATACATTACATACATGCCATACATTACATACATTACATACATTACATACATTACATACATTACATACATTACATACATTACATACATGCCATACATTACATACATTACATACATTACATACATTACATACATTACATACATTACATACATTACATACATTACATACATTACATACATTACATACATTACATACATTACATACATTACATACATTACATACATTACATACATTACATTACATACATTACATTACATACATTACATTACATACATTACATTACATACATTACATTACATACATTACATTACATACATTACATACATTACATTACATACATTACAATACATACATTACATACGTTACATACATGACATACATTACATACATTACATACATTACATACATTACATACATTACATACATTACATACATTACATACATTACATACATTACATTACATACATTACATACATTACATCCATTACATACATACCATACATTACATACATACCATACATTAATTACATTCATACCATACACTACATACATACCATACATACATGCATACATACATACCATAACATACCATAACATACCATAACACACCATAACACACAATAACACACCATAACACACCATAACATACCATAACATACCATAACATACCATAACATACCATAACATACCATAACATACCATAACATACCATACCATAACATAACATACATACATACATTACATTACATACATTACATACATTACATTACATTACATACATTACATTACATACATTACATTACATACATTACATTACATACATTACATTACCTACATTACATACATTACATTACATTACATTACATTACATTACATTACATTACATTACATTACATTACATTACATTACATTACATATATTACATACATTACATACATTACATACATTACATACATTACATACATTACATACATTACATACATTACATACATTACATACATTACATACATTACATACATTACATACATTACATACATTACATACATTACATACATTACATACATTACTTACATTACATACATTACATACATTACATACATTACATACATTACATACATTACATACATTACATACATTACATACATTACATACATTACATACATTACATACATTACATACATTACATACATTACATACATTACATACATTACATACATGACATACATTACATACATTACATACATGACATACATTACATACATTACATACATTACATACATTACATACATTACATACATTCATACATTACATACATTACATACATTACATACATTACATACATTACATACATAACATACATTACATACATTACATACATTACATACATTACATACATTACATACATTACATACATTACATACATTACATACATTCATACATTCATACATACATTACATACATTACATACATTACATTACATTACATTGCTTTACTTTACTTTACTTTACATTACATTACATATATATATATATACATAGATAGATACACGACTGAATATATCAATATGCATAATATAAGTCCCACAGATCTATGGGGACCGGTCTATGCCACGAAATGTCAGGCCTCTTGGCGCGCAACTTGGCTCGCTTATTGGCAAAAACCTGCAGGGAGCGCCCAACCCTTCCAACAAAGAGATACAATGGGATACTAGTGCTTAGTGACTAACAGTGATTCATAGTGATTAATAGTCGTTAATAGTGATTCATAGTGATTAATAGTGATTGATAGTGACTAATAGTGGCTGATAGTGACTAATAGTGATTCATAGTGATTAATAGTGGTTAATAGTGATTCATAGTGATTAATAGTGATTGATAGTGACTAATAGTGGCTGATAGTGACTAATAGTCATTAATAGTGATTAATAGTGGTTAATAGTGATTCATAGTGATTAATAGTGATTGATAGTGACTAATAGTGGCTGATAGTGACTAATAGTGATTCATAGTGATTCATAGTGATTAATAGTGATTCATAGTGATTAATAGTGATTGATGGTGACTAATAGTGGCTGATAGTGACTAATAGTGATTCATAGTGATTAATAGTGGTTAATAGTGATTCATAGTGATTAATAGTGATTGATAGTGACTAATAGTGGCTGATAGTGACTAATCTAGTGATTCATAGTGATTAATAGTGGTTAAGTCATTAATAGTGATTTATGGTGATTAATAGTGATTGATAGTGACTAATAGTGACTAATAGTGGCTGATAGTGACTAATAGTCATTAATAGTGATTAATAGTGATTGATGATTAATAGTGGCTGATAGTGACTAATAGTGGCTGATAGTGACTAATAGTCATTAATAGTGATTGATAGTGACTAATAGTGGCTGATATTGACTAATAGTCATTAATAGTGATTGATAGTGACTAATAGTGGCTGATAGTGACTAATAGTCATTAATAGTGATTCATAGTGATGAATGAGATACAGTAATATGATATATTAATAGCAACTCAACTATGGGGCTGGTTCCAATTCATCCATCAATGAGGCCCCTTTTTTCCGACTGACGGATGGCCTTACGCACAAAAGTCCCCAACCTGGACCTGTCCATTCTGCGGCGGGTTTCGGTGGGTGTTTGGGTTGGTTTTCTAAGCCTGGCAAACACGAAGATTGTACCCTCTTAGACCCTGGTAGATAGGGGTTGGAAGATTAGTTTCCTCTAACAATTGGTGATTTTCAGGGTCTATGTTTATTTACCAGAGGGTAAATGCAAAAATGGAAAAACAACCCATAACAAACCTATAGTTTGCCACTAAATGGATTTCTTGAGTGCAAGCAGTCAACAAAGCTGCCACGCAGAATCGCCTGACGTAGTCTCGGCGGACTCTCATTCTCGAGCTGAATTCACTGCCAAACCTTAGGAAGCAAGCGTGCGTATCAGAACTCAGATTTGAAAGATCCAAAACCAGCAGCCCAGATCAATAGTGATTCATCGTTATTAATAGAACTCGGATCCAAGATTCCGACTGTACACTTTGTAATTCACGTGGCGTACATGCTAGAAACCAGTCCACCGCTGAGACAAAGACGAAAAAAAAAGCATTGAGGTCCACTGTGCAACCACATCTTCGTCCTGGGAAAACACCAAGCCATCAACAATGGCCTCAACAATCGCCAGCAAAGCCATCTGGGGACTGGGCAGTTTCCGCTTCTGCTGCTTCCCTTTCTTCGCTTTCAACCAGCCAGCGTCGTACCTTTTGCATGATGCCTGGCACAGGGAAACACCTTCCCAGTTTATCCTTCAGCTTTACCCACAACATTTTCCCACAGCCCGGCCTTGGATATTGAACTTCACCTCAGCATGACGTGGCCACGACCATCAGCTCTGGTCATCTTGGGATATCTTGGGTCCCTTGGGCCGCTTAGCCAAGACACACCCAGCTGATCTAATGAGAGCAGCAAGATTGGAGCCGTATCCGAAGAACGTATCCTGCGCAGTTGATTGCTCAGCAAAGGCTCTGCAAAATGAGCGAGCGCACTAATCACAAAAAGAGGTGGTAAGCATTCGAACATATGTGCGGATTGTGAAGAAAAATCATGAAAAATCTACATATTCATATTTTATGAAGGTCGCTCTTGGGTCCTTTCTAGGTCTGGTGGTTCTGTCAAGTTCCAGCAAAGGTCTGGAGATGGGGACTCCAGGAAGACTAGAACCTGTCACGAAGCCGAGTGCTCTCAAGAACACGTAGTCAAGTATTACATTATATTATATAATATAAACTATTGCTATATCATATATATATATAGAGAGAGAGAGAGAAGTCAAATCACATCTTCAATATGTTACAACTCTGATTTTGCCCCTTGTGTTGCGGATAGCAGCGCTGCAAAGCCAAGGCATTTGACCATCCTGCTGCATAATTTTGTGTTCTTTCTGTACGCAGATTTTACCTTCATACCGGGTTCGCAACAAAGATTTGAATCCATTGGTAGCTGTCAAGAGAAAATGGGAGCTTCATGTGGGTTGTGTCTGCGTTCTAGGCTATGGCTACGATTATTTGGGCTAGGAAAACTACTTTGAGTGCATCAAAGTAGTATAATCCCCTGGTGTCACAGCTCCCAGTAATTGAGTTCAAACAGAACCATGTCTGTTCATAGGCAGTTGGCAGCTACAAAGATCAAGCTTTCAGCAAATGCACACTACAAGTTGTATGTTTCCGTTGTATGTCAGGTCTATGGTGGTCGGATCAGCAAGAGATCAAGGTATTCGGCAAAGACAGAGTCAGTCACCCGAGTCAGTCGCCCCAAACGTCCGAGTCAGGAACCCCATGCGACAAAGTCAGTCACCGGTGAACACTAGCACAGGATGCAGGGAAACCAGGAAGAGGAGACAGAGAGTCAGAACCGAGAGTCAGTCACCCCTCGGAAGCCAGGAGGAGGATCAAGGAATCCGGAGGAAAACAGAAAGTCAACAACAAAGAGTCGGTCACCCCTGAAAGCTATCTATTTGTCTATCTACCTACCTATCTATCTGTCTGTCTATCTACCCATCCATCCATCTATCTATTCTTGTCTATCTATCTAATCTTATCTAATCTTGTCTAGTCTTATCTATCGATCTAATCCAATCTATCTTGTCTATCTAATCTATCTATCTATTCTTATCCATCGATCTTTTCTTATCTATCTAATCTAATCTAATCCAATCTAATCTAATCTAATCCAATCCAATCTAATCTAATCTAATCTAATCTAATCTATCTAATCTATCTATTCTAATCTAATCCAATCTAATCTAATCTATCTAATCTATCTAATCTATCTAATCTATCTAATCTATCTAATCTATCTAATCTATCTAATCTATCTAAGCTTTCTAATCTATCTAACCTGTCTAATCTATCTAACCTTTCTAATCTATCTGATCTATCTAATCTATCTAATCTAATCTAATCTAATCTAATCTAATCTAATCTAATCTATCAATCAATCTATCTATTGAGGAACCCATGGGAACATTGAAAAACGGAATATCAACAACAAAGAGTCCCTCAAGAAACCTTAACGCAACCCTGAAGAAACCCCAAAGCAACACTAAGTAAAGCCTAAACCAATCCTCACGCAAACCCTGACAAAACCCTACATTAACCCTAACCCTAAATAAACCCTACACCATTTTTTAAGCAAATCCTGACGAAACCCTTATTAACCCTAAACCAACCCCAAAGAAACCCTAAACCATCCCCTATATATACCCTAAACGAAACCTAAACAAACCCTAAACTATCCCTAAATAAACCCTAAACCGACCTTGAATAAACCCTAAACCAACCCTACGCCAACCCTAAGTAAACCAACCAGCGCTGAAACAAACCCTAAACCAACCCCAAAACAAACCCTGACGAAACAATAATGCACCCCCAAACCAAACCAAAAGAAACCCTAAACCAAGCATCCATAAACCCCAAACCAAGACATTAACCCTAAAACAAACCCTACAGAAACCCTAAACCAACCCTCAAGCAAACCCTGACGAAATCCAAATTTCATCTTAAACCAAACCTAAAAAACCCTAAGCCAACCCTAAATAAACCTAAAACCAACACTAAGTAAACCCTAAAGAGGCCCTAAAACAAACGTTGATGAAACCCAACATTCACCATTAACCCGAAACTAACCTCAAATATACCCTAAACCAAGCCTAAATAAACCCTAAACCAACCCAAAATAAACCCTAAACCAACCTTAAATCAAATCTTGACGAAACCCATCAGTACCCTAAACCAACCCTTAAAAACCCTAAACCAAGCCTACATAAACCCCAAACCAACAGTACCCAAAACAAACCATGAGGAAACCCTGCAGAAAACTTAAACCAACCCTAAAACCAACCCTAAATGGACCCCAATACATCTTGAAACAACCCTGAATCAACCCTAAAGAAACCATGTCACTTTGATGGCCCACGAGGCACACCGCAGGGCAGTAACCTCTCGCCCCTGTGGGGCTGTGGAGGGTGACTGACTCCGACGTGAGGGGTGATTGACTCACCGTGGTCTGACTCTCAATTTCTGTGATTTGTTTGTCTTTTGTGTACATAAGCATGCATGTGTATGTATGTAGCTATGTATCTATGTATCTATGTACCTATGTATCTATGTATCTATGTATGTATCTAGGTAGGTAGGTAGGTAGGTAGGTAGGTAGGTAGGTAGGCATGTAGGTATGTGGGTACGTGGGTATGTGGGTATGTGGATAGGTAGGTAGGTAGGTAGGTAGGTAGGCAGGCAGGCAGGCAGGCAGGTAGGTATGTAGTTATGTAGGCATGTAGGTATGTGGGTACGTGGGTATGTGGGTATGTGGATAGGTAGGTAGGTAGGGTCTGTCGGTCGGTCGGTCGGTCGGTCGGTCGGTCGGTCTGTATGTATGTATGTATGTATGTATGTATGTATGTATGTATGTATGTATGTATGTATGTATGTATGTATGTATGTATGTATGTATGTATGTATGTATGTATGTATGTATGTATGTATGTATGTATGTATGTATGTATGTAATACATATATATATATATATATGTAATATAGTCATGTATATATATATACATGTAGTATGTATGTATGTATGTATGTATGTATGTATGTATGTATGTATGTATGTATGTATGTATGTATGTATGTATGTATGTATGTATGTATGTATGTATGTATGTATGTATGTATGTATGTATGTATGTATGTATGTATGTATGTATGTATTCATGTCATGTCATGTCATGTCATGTCATGTCATGCAATGCGATGCGATGCAATGCAATGTAATGTATGTAGGTATGTACGTACATGCATACGTATTAGGTTATACAATGTTATACATATATAATCATATATACATGTAGACAAATATGACATCTCGATATACTTTGTGGAAAAAAACTTTCTCTTGCCATCTGTTCGTTGAAGCAGCACACTGAATGTGGTGCTGAGGCTCCAGCCAGTGAATTGCTCAAAGAAACCAGCTGCTCCCAGCTAGGCTTGCGAGAATAGACACGCATCTGCAGGGTTGGTTGGCGACAACAAAAAAACATCTACAGTAGCAGCTAGCTGATTCTGTCTGCTGGAGTATCAATCTGGTAAACTCATGTAAACTCAATCATAAACCTCCAACTCTGGACTGTTTATACCATCATACATCACCAATTCTGTTGCAAGAATCATCATCACAGGATATTGCGCATGGTTTGGCGCTTGCTAAGGCCCCAAAGAACTGCCTCGACACGATCGAGTCCCAGCTCCATTTCTGGGTCCTGAATGCAACATCCACTGTGGATGTGAAGGGACATGAGTACGGGTCAAGTCAGGATAGATTATACAGTTGGATGGTGACATGCCAAAAGAGAATCACGGTGCTTTATCTATAGACTCGTGGCCATATCAATATGGACTGGCATATCAAGCCACATACAATACTGACCCATCTTCTGGCGTGTTCCACACAACTTATCGTCCCGTGTGCAACCAATGGGTGTTCCCCCATTGATATTCAGCAACCAGTGGAACAAAGCACGATCTGCGGACGTCCTTGACACCAAGCTTCTTCAAACTCACAATGGTTTCCTGTGGATCAAAGGGGTGGATCTTGACCCACACCACCCGCTTTCCAGTATGGTCATTGCTAGGAGATAGTAGGAATATCCGCGAATATGCCCAGTCCGCTCTCAAGTCTGTCTAGCTTGAAGCGTTGCTCCCAAGTCGTGCTTCTGGTCCTCTGGAAAAAGGACACGAGGTTTGTCACCAGCGCGTCCGCTGATCAAGCAAAAGTCGAAGATGATGAGCTTTAGCGCACTCCATACGTACCTGACAGGCTTTGATCTGCGATACATTTCCGCTGTGGCAACCTCTAGAAATACATACAGGCAAGGTCTATCAGTTCTGAGTGGGATTCACATAATATGGGTACACCACTTTTTGATAGTTTGGATGGGATATACAAATGTATACAAATGTATACAAATGTATACAAAGGTATACAAATGATACAGATACATACAGATACCCCAAATAAAGCAGTGCTCAAACCCCGCAACCTCGTCCCTTTATATCACAATGGATTATGATAATCCCCAATATATGAATGGTAGTATTCCCCAGTTGGAACCAAACTCAACCACCAGCATTTTGGTCACGGCTCAATTGGCTATTCTTTGGATCTATGCTAGTTGGGGCAACTAGGAGATATTAACCATACACTAGGGGATTACACCTCTGGAGGTTTATGATGATATATGTCGATATACATCTATATTAAAAACCCAATGCATGGTTTATGGGGAGATGACATACTAAGCATACATATTAATCTGCCAATATTAAATATCTATAAATATCTAATATGGGGTTTCCTAAAATGGTGGTACCCCCAAATCATTCAAGTCATTAGACCATGAGTTAGCATTAAAACCCATGGTGACGACTTGAGATCCCTCATTTCAGGAAACATCCATATTCATTAACCCATATTAAATCCATATTAACCGATATTAACCTATCAGAAGTATGTCTTGCAGTCGCGGCCGTCCTGGATGCACCGCGGCTTTCCTTCGTGGATGTGGGTTGTTCGAAGCCTCGGCTCGTTTTTCGCGTCCGCGAAGCCTCCTGGAAGGGGTGATGGGAGAAGGAGGAGTTCACCAATGATGATATTATGGGAAAATCATGGATAAACATATTATGGGACAGATAGATAGATAGGATAGGATAGGATAGGAAAGGATAGATAGGATAGATAGGATAGATAGGATAGATAGGATAGATAGGATAGATAGGATAGATAGGATAGATAGGATAGATAGGATAGATAGGATAGATAGGATAGATAGGATAGATAGGATAGATAGGATAGATACGATAGATACGATAGATAGGATAGATAGGATAGATAGGATAGAAATAGATAGGATAGATAGGATAGATACGATAGATACGATAGATACGATAGATAGGATAGATACGATAGATACGATAGATAGGATAGATAGGATAGATAGGATAGAAATAGATAGGATAGATAGGATAGATGGGATAGATACGATAGATAGGATAGATAGGATAGATAAGATAAGATAAGCTGGCTGGCTGACTGACTGACTGATTGATTGATTGATTGTTTGATTATATATATATGTATATATAGATACGCACACTTGGGGCCCAGGGGTAAGGGACGAAGGCTAGCTTGGCAGGGAACTTGGCATGAAAACACAATGATGCTGAGGATGCGGATGCTGCCGAATGTGCTGCCGATGGCGACATGCCAACGGTGTCCCCGGGAGATTGAGCCACGGCCAAGCTGCTTGTGAACCAGCCGGCCGGGGAGGAGGGGGGGGTAGTCGACTATGAAGTTTCACGCGACTGGAGATTCCAGCCCAACAAGACCTTGCTAGAGCAAGAGGGACTTCAGCTAGCAGAAGCTAGTTTTCGTGATATATATATATATACACACATATATATATATATATATTATACATATATAATTATATAATATAGATATATATATATATACATGTAATATGTATATAATATATATAATATTATATATAATATTATATATAATATGTTATATATAATGGGAAATGTACTGGGAATACTCATCAACAATATGATCTTATTGGTGTTGGTCATCATTAGTGGGAATCCTTATATTGACCATGATAATATCCATTAATATCCTACTAATAATGGTGATACGAACATCCCCCAATGTGGGCGTATAATTCAACTGTTGACCATAGCACATAATATCGCGGATCTGTGTTTTTTTGCTGCTTGGAATCCCAGGTTTGTTTCGTTAGAATATCATTCTGATTGTTGAAGGTACAATGTTTTTGGCACTCCTGTGGCTTGGGGGTTGTGGTCCGTTTTTTTTGGGGGGAAAGCTGGGTGGTAAATATGGTTGGTGTGGGTTTGCACAGCACACACCATGTTTACAAAGCCCTTCGGTGAAATATCGTCATCAATGTTCAATATAGTTTTCTTGCTCCTCTGTTTCATCTCGCGTCAAACTCAATGCGAATGTTTTTGCAGCGGAACAGTCTTGCGCAAGATCAACTCACTTCAATGCCAAAATCGAACCAAGCATAGATTCTCGAAACCCTTAAAGTCAAACAGTATGTATGCTTTGCAAACATTATTCCATATGTTACCCTCTGGTAAATTAACATAGACATAGACCCTGAAAATCACATTTTTCCCCACATTGACGTGTGGGGTTTTTGTTTTTAGTTCTGTATCCGCCTTCCTCCTCCTCCGCCTCCCGTCCCCTCAACTCAATCAACTAACTCACTCACTCACTCACTCACTCACTCACACACTCACTCACTCACTCACTCACTCACGCACTCACTCACTCACTCACTCACCCACTCACTCACTCACTCACTCACTCACGCACGCACGCACGCACGCACTCACGCACTCACGCACTCACGCACTCACGCACTCACGCACACACGCACACACGCACACGCACACACACGCACACAACTCACTCACACTCACTCACTCAACTCAACTCAACTCAACTCAACTCAACTCACACTCACTCACTCACTCACTCACTCACTCACTCACTCCAAGGGGTCGGATGTACGCCCTGGCGTCCCTTGGGCTCCGCCTCTTTTGCGTGGCAGGCGTGGGACAATGTGCATTGCCAAGGGGTCGGATGTACGCCCTGGCGTCCCTTGGGCTCCGCCTCTTTTGCGTGGCAGGCGTGGGACAATGTGCATTTTGCGTGGCAGGTGTGGGACAATGTGCATTGCCAAGGGGTCGGATGTACGCCCTGGCGTCCCTCTTTTGCGTGGCAGTCGTGGGACAATGTGCATTGCCAAGGGGTCGGATGTACGTCCTGGCGTCCCTTGGGCTCCGCTTCTTTTGCGTGGCAGGTGTGGGACACTGTGCACTGCCAAGGGGTCGGATGTACGCTCTGGCGTCCCTTGGGCTCCGCCTCTTTTGCGTGGCAGGCGTGGGACAATGTGCATTTTGCGTGGCAGGCATGGGGCAATGTGCATTGCCAAGGGGTCGGATGTACGCCCTGGCGTCCCTTGGGCTCCGCCTCTTTTGCGTGGCAGGCGTGGGACAATGTGCATTTTGCGTGGCAGGCATGGGGCAATGTGCATTGCCAAGGGGTCGGATGTACGCCCTGGCGTCCCTTGGGCTCCGCCTCTTTTGCGTGGCAGGCGTGGGACAATGTGCATTGCCAAGGGGTCGGATGTATGCCCTGTCCCTTGGGCTCCGCTTCTTTTGCGTGGCAGGCGTGGGACAATGTGCACTGCCAAGGGGTCGGATGTACGCCCTGGCGTCCCTTGGGCTCCGCCTCTTTTGCGTGGCAGGCGTGGGACAATGTGCATTTTGCGTGGCAGGTGTGGGACAATGTGCACTGCCAAGGGGTCGGATGTACGCCCTGGCGTCCCTTGGGCTCCGCCTCTTTTGCGTGGCAGGCGTGGGACAATGTGCATTTTGCGTGGCAGGCGTGGGGCAATGTGCACTGCCAAGGGGTCGGATGTATGCTTTGGTGTCCCTTGGCATTCACTCACTCACTCACTCTCCCTTACTCGCTCACTCTCACTCACTCACACTCACTCAGTCACTTACTCACTCACTCACTCACTCACCCACTCACTCACTCACTCACACATCTCTCACTCACACACACCACACTCACATCACTCACTCACAGTCTCACTCACTCACCTGTGCACATGGCTTATCATCATCATCATCATCATCATCACCATCATCATCATCATCATCAAATATCAAATAGATTGTTTTATGATGAATACTAGTAGCTTTATGATATGTTATTGGTGATGGCATGCTATGATGAACATAGCTCTGAACAGGTGTGCTCTGAAGTGGACATGTCAACTCGGGCATCTGAGCAACTCACTGAGGTCAGCACAGAAGCACTTGCGATCACCCCACTTCTGACCGCATCCTTCTCATCCGCCTAGCCCCCTCCATCACTCTTATACTTTCTCTTCCCTTCTTGCTTTTCTATGCCCAGTCTAAGTCTAGAGAAGTTGGTAACATGTGGGGTTATCCGGTCCTTTAATTTTAGAGGAAACCAATCTTTCAACCCCAATCTGGCAGGGTCTATTTTAATTTACTGGAGGGTAATTCCCCCAAATATGTTACTTCCATCTAATTCCATAGGTTGTGGCCCATCCCCATATCATTCCTATCATTGTAGATGTGAGGGGTTTCACCCTTGTGTTTTTTGCCTCTCTGGCGATCGGTTGGTAAGTTAAGATAACCATGGAAAATGTTTCAATTTTAAAGAAGTTTTCCAGGTGTTTCCCATTTACCATCTGGTTATTTAACAGTTCGCCATGGAAAGATCCACCATGCTATTAATAGGTAAAGCGTCTATTTCTATGGGCCATCTATACCATGGCTATGTTAGTCATAACCAGAGGCTACACCAGTCAGTTGGTAAACAGCGGAAAACTTTCCCATCACTGTGAGGCCCAGTGACCTGACAGTCCCCGTTGTATGCTCATGGTGAGCCACGATCTTACTTGGCTGGGTATTTTGCTATGAAACTAATATCAAAGAAACGCAAAGACTCGACACCATAATATCAGAATATGAATTACTGTAGAATCAAAACTATTTTACTTCGAATGATCCCCACAATTTAAACTATTTTACTTCGAGTGATCCCAACCCTGACAATTATTCTGACTAAATTTCTGACATTCCATCTGGAAGTGTATATTGGGACAAATTCCGACATTTTTTTGGGCATTCTATCTGGCATCTATTCTGACATTCTTTCTGGCATCTACTCTGACATTAATTCTGGCATTTTGTTTGGCATTCTATCTGACATTCTATTGTGGCATTCTATCCTGCATCTATTCTGACATTCTTTCTGACATGGGCATTGCCGGACCTCAAACCGCGAGCACCAGATCTCAGTGGGCTGGGAGTGCCGAGCTCCGGGGCTCACGGTTGAGGTCCGGCAGTGCCCACTGAGCTCGACGAGGGGGAGGAGGAGGAAGAGGAGGAAGAGGAGGAAGAGGAGGAAGTAAGTCTGATAAAATCTATAGAGACCCTCACCCGGCAGGCGGCGAAAAACAAAAACACTTATTCTTGGGGTTTCGATTTGCTGAGCCATCTTCTTTCCTATCCCATCTCCGTGGTCTCCTGCTCCATGGAGTCCGGTCCCCACAGCAGGATATCTGCAGCAAAGACTTCCAAGTCAGCGTCATTTGGGATCGACCGCCAGCCTGCAGCACATTGCAGCGCAGCCAAGTGCGGGACCCTGCTTGGATGTGCTGGGACCCAGTTGAGAAGTGATTTATATTTCGAACATATATATATATATATGTGTGTGTGTAATGTAATGTAATGTAAGGTAAGGTAATGTAATGTAACGTATGTATATATACACATACCTGCATATATATATATATACGTATAATATACAGATAGCCCATTTTGGTATTCCATGTATGTATGTATATATAATTATATATATACGTATATATATAATTATATATATATAATATATATATATATATTTGAGGTACAATATGGTTACTGCGACATGTTCTTAACAACTTAATGGCTGGCATGCGCCCTCCAAGCGTTCATCCAAAACCAGCTATGTGGCTGAATGAAGTACGGTACTCTACTGAAGGGTCCAAATAGTACCTGTTTCTAACTGTTCAACCAGCGGTTGGGATCATCATTTCGAGCCCATCATTTGATCAAGCAACACAAAGGTTCTTCCAAGCGTTCACCAGTACCTTGCTCCAGCTTGTGGTGTCCCACGTGTCTAACGGTCTACGCGTGAACATGCCTCACGCAACTGGATGGCATGGCACTGCATGGCATTGGATCTACAATCTAAAATGCAGGTAACCCAACTCAGTGCACTCAGCGTGATGTCCTTCAAGTTGATTCAATTCAACGACGCTGTGGTGCTGCCAGGAGACGTTCCAAACCAACATCTGCCATTCGAATAACGCTACTGGTCGCTTCGCACCAGGTCACCGTCAACGCTGCGATCTGCGTCGCAAGAGCGGCTTGGAAGTACCTCACGTTGAGGAAGGTTCCAATAGGACTTCCCCTAAGCTTCCCCGGTTTGGAGCATCCTTTTTGATTCCCCAGTGCGACTTCCGGAAGCAACATCTTGTGCAAGGAATGAAACCAAGAAGAGTGGAATAGGATGCAGAAAACCAGGTTTTGTCGAGGAATATCTAGACTCCGTGTATGCAATGTACATTGTTTGTGAAGCTAGAAGCTTTGTCGGAGTTCCACCATTTCCCCTGCCAGTGTTGGCTGAGGTCTGACTGACGCAAGACGGTGAAGAGGAATCGATGAGCCTCGGAAGACAGGGCCCAGATTTAAGACAAGCAACAGCCCAACAGCAAGCTTCCCGATGTGAAAAAAATGACGTATGATGATGAATGATATGTGTTTATAAATCGATTGATAGACAGACATCGTATGTTCCTTATTTTGAGTATAAAAAATGATGGCTCACAGACACATGGGTAAAAAATGCCAAATCGAGCTTCCAGTCTGAATTTGACGCAATCTGACTGACAAGTCATGTTTTGTTCAGGTGAGCAGCAGCTACGTCCCTCTCTTCCGTATCCTTTGCGAGGAAGATGTTCTCGAAAGCCTGTGTGGTGTCCCTCCAGACCAGATCTTCTGCCTCCGAAGTGATATCCGGCTCACTGTCAGTACCTTGGTGCCGTCTCCGATGACAAGGTACCATGGGGAAAGTGATTAGATCCATATGTGTATATATATATATACATATATTTATATACGTATGTATGTATGTATGTATGTATGTATGTATGTATGTATGTATGTATGTATGTATGTATGTATGTATGTATGTATGTATGTATGTATGTATGTATGTATGTATGTATGTATGTATGTATGTATGTATGTATTATGTATGTATGTATGTATGTATGTATGTATGTATGTATGTATGTATGTATGTATGTATGTATGTATGTATGTATGTATGTATGTATGTATTTTTGTATTTATATATTTTAAATTATATATTATATTATATTAAACTAGATTATATTACATTATATTATATTATATTATAGTATATATATTATATTAGATTATATTATATTATATTATATATGTTATATTATATATGTTATATTAGATTATATTATATATATTATATGATATCATAATATAATATAATACAATATATAAGAATAAAATATAATATAATATTATATTATATTATAATATTATATTATATATTGTATTATATGATATTATAATATTATATATTGTATTATATAATATTATCATATTACCCACAGACGCCGTGTGTTGCCCAGACATTAACATTGATGATGTCGTGTTGTTGAAGAAGATAGGAGAGATTGCAGAAAATATTGCGTATACACAGAGTTTTCTGGTTTAGGATTCAAAGTTTTCAGGGTGTAGGTTTTATGGTTTAGGGTGAAAGGTTCTAGGGTTTGGGGGTTTAGGATTTAGGGTTTAGGGCTCGTCGTCTAAGAAATCTCAAAACACTGGCCTTGCGCAGGTGTTTGAGCATGTTGAAGGATAATGCGTAAACGCCATGTGAACTTTCCGGGCAACATGCAGCGCCTGGCCGTAATATTATATTATATTGTAACGTATTGTATTGTATTGTATTGTATTGTATTATAATATTGTATTGTATTATATCATATCATAAGATTATATATTGTATTATGAAATTAAAAATTGTATTATATTGTATTATAATATTATATATTGAATTATATTCTAATAGAATATTTTATTTTATTGTATTGCATTATATCGTACTGTCTTATATTATATTAAATTATAATATTGTATAGTGTATTATATTATATAATATTGTAATATTGTATTGTATTATACTATATTGTAACATTATATATTGTATTATATCATATCATATTATATTATATTGTATTGTATTGTATTGTATTATACTATATTGTATTGTGTTGTGTTATATTATATTAAAATATTATATGTTGTATTATATTACATTATAACATAATATTATAGTGTATTGTATTATATTATATTGTATTATATTAAATTATATTGTATTGTATTGCATTATATTTGATTATAATATTATATGTTGTATTGTATCATATTATATTATAATATTATACTATATTGTATTGTAATATTATACTATATTGTATTGTATTGTGTTGTATTATATTGTATTAATTATATTGTATTATATTGTATTATATTACATTGTATTATGTATATATATATAATTATATATAAATAGATGTAAAAAATAGAGCTGGAACATGTGTAAACCGTCTGGACATTTTCAGGGATCGCATCAAACCATCCCTGGCCACGGCACTGGTCTCCGCGTCAATGACCACGGGCTCCGCCTCGAAGCGCTCGAAGCCTCTGGCGGCGGCAAGCCGGCGAAGTCTTCGCCTCGCTGGTGGCGAAAAAAGATATGGAATGCCATGGGAGATCATGGGATATATGCATGTATATAATATATATATATATACATATAATATATATATATATACTTGAGAATATTTGATATGATTTTTGAATGTGTCACATAGCTATGGAAAGATAGGTGGTTCCCTAGGAAGTGATCTAGAAATGGTTACTATTCCATGGCTTTCCACGGCTTGTTGGATTACCAGAGGGTACCCCATTTTTCCGCCACTAAAAAAAAAGGTCAAGAACACAGAAACGATGAGCAAAGTTTCACAGGGTAGAGTTAGGCAGGAGTCCAAAGAAAACCAAGTACTGATTGCTGGATGGCCTTGTCCTCTCCTGCTTCTCAGCCGCCACCGCACACCTGCTGCAAGTGGATCAGTGCGCACATCACCGTGGGGGCGGCTGGGATCTTTCCAACGTGGAGTTTGGACTGGATTGAATAGCTCACGTTGGAGTTCAAGTTCGAGTAATACACCGGGAGTGGGATTCGGACACTCTGTCCCAGTTTCACCAGCACATATGTCCTCCACAGTGCAGGAAGCAAGTCAAGTGCGTAGTTAGTTTATTAGTTTGAAAATGTTTGAAATAGAATTTACCCTCTGGTAAACTAACATAGCTATGGAAAATCACATTTTTTAATGGGAAAACTCACTGTAAATGGCCATTGTCCATAGCTATGTTAGTCATTACCAGAGGGTATCTGAAGGAAAACCACCAGCAAGTTCTACCGGTTGGATCCCGGTAAAATTGCCAATTTTTCCTGTCGTATTTTCGCCAGTTTTTATCCCCAAAATCCCATCCTATGTTTGTTTCTGCGCAGAAACCCCAATATGGTGGTTTTCTGAAATAGGGGTACCCCCTAATCATCCATAGGTTCATGGGATTTCCATTGTAAACCATCCAGCTATTGGATACCCCCATTGATGGAAACCCCAACAAAAATCCTCCCAAGCATTATCCACGCTTCATCTGCCGCGCCTAGATCGTGGACATAGCCACAGGGCCAGGGCGGAGGTACTAAGTGCACCCCGCCACCGCAGATGGGAGCGATGAGTCTCCGACTGCGACCGTGGCCTCGCCATGCGACCATGGATTCGGAGTGAAAATGGGCTGCTGAAACCGAAACATCATTATATATGTATATGTATGTATATATATATATTCATAGACTCATAGACATTTATAGTGAATAGATATGTTTCTAAACATGGTTACAGTTTCAGTGTTTGTTATATCTATAGTTATAGTTGTAGTTATAGTCATAGCTTATATTCATTTTACACTTAAAGACTATCATCATGAATATAACTATATTTAGCTATAACTAGAACAAAAACTATAGCCAGCATAATTGAATAATAGAGATAAGAACACATATATATATGTTAAAACCGTAATGGGTACAGATGGTTGGATTCAATATCCGCAAAACTAAACAATTTATGAATATTTTTTTGATACAGTGGGATCGGATTGGATATGTAACCAACAATACACCAACAATGTAGTATTTGGCTGTCTGAAAAAATGTAGATACCAATAGCATTGCATTTGCAATATAAATATAATATATATATATTGATAAACATATACTGCCCGTGGAAATTAAGTGGCTGGCTAGCATGGACTCAATTTACACTTGTAGTAAAATGAGAACCCATGTATAACTACCAACATGGCACATCTAAAGAATCATAGGCCAGCATGCACCGGGGGGGGGTCTGATGCCCTCTAAAAAATCACTGCCCAGGCAACCAACTACAAAACACACAGAAAAACATCAAGAAACATCTATTCTCTAAAGAATGGGAAGGTCCCAGCGTCCCAGTTAGCCTTGGGCAGGTCACCCTCCCAAAAGCAGCGTGTAACGGCAATGGCTTGTAAATCCAAACAATCAAAAATTCAAGAGGCATCAAAATTGGCCTTCAAAATGCCATGCTCCAAAAAATATCAAAAAATCATGACCCATGATGCTCCCCAAAAAAAATGGAAGCCCGGGTTTGCCATAGGCAGAAATCGTTATTTTCCTTTTAACAAAAAAAGTTCTTTGGGACAATCGGGTTGTCGCATTTACTAACATATATATATATATATATATGCAAGTATCATTTCAATCGAGAACTTGATGACAAGCTGTTGGATTCTGCAGTGTGGTGCTACATCTTTGGTTACACCCAAGTCGAAATGAGTTTCGACAACTGTGAAACCAGGAAATTGGCGCCGCTTTGCAACCAAACAGCAGGTTTCAGGTTTCCGTTCCGATTTTCAGGGCCGGCAAAAAATGGCGCACCACTCCCGTCCCAGAGGTTGAAACCCAACAATTTCAAACTGAACATCTTCTTTTGATTTTTTTTGAAATCTGTTCTAGATATTTCTAGATGGTCTTTGTTTATCTTTGTTTCAGAGAGGCCCGATCCAGCCTGCTGGGCACTGATGCCTCAGATAGGATCTATCAAGGTGCCAATGATGTCTTAACCACTGGGGGATTGTGGTGAGAGTGGTGAACCAAACCAATACCAAAGCAGTACCAATTTCTGCCTTTTTCCTGTTTTTTTAAGGCCCCCCAGAATTTGGGTTTTGGGGATCCCCCATTTTTGGAACCCCCCAATTCAAGGGGGATCTTGTTGGGACTGGATGGGGCCAAAAGGCCAAAACCCTTCCAGCGCCTGTGAAGGACTCACGTAGAAATCCATGCACCGCTGCCGGATTTCTGTGGAAGATATCGTAGCGTTTTGCTTTGAGAATCGGTAGAAACTCTGAGAGGACTCATCCAAATCGATTTGTCTCATTTAATCTCTGGCATACGAAAACCCGAAAAGGTTCCGGCCCACCCAAGAATCCTGCATCTGATGTCAATTGATCTGCTCAAGTGTTGTGATGTCTGATCCATTGGGACCTCGAGGGTAGGTGAGGTCCAAGAGTTTGCCATAGTTAGTCTACTAGTTGGTTCGAGTCTAGCGCAGGATCAAGTCAAGGCCACACCCTTGCAGCTTTTGAGCCAGTGATTCGATTCCACAATTGGACACTCCTGTGATCAGCAGCTACCAATCTGCACTGTAGACTCAACAAGTTGGGCTTCAATTGGACAGTCTTTCAGGCAACGTTTTTTCAAACGGGGTCTGGCGCTTTGTCCAGCTCCAGTCTCTGCTCAGAACCTGCCATCTCCGTGGGCTGACTGATTTCACACACGTGGTGCGAGTTTCACGGTGAGGATAGGGCCACAGAGCCACGACTTCAGAATCTGCAGAGGGACTCAGGAAAAACCTGGAATTTCTCTGTCCAAATGTTGGTCCCAACCAATCAGCCCTACCAACCAGCAACAGCTCAAGCGCACCGATCGAAGAGTTGAGCCGGTGCATGTTACATCAAGTCAAGCTCCTGGCCAGACACTTTGCAACGTGGAAACAGCTCCTGGTGGGATCCGTGGCCAAAGATGTACTATCCATTGGGATAAATTGGGCATGCTCCAGACTGGTCGTGCATGCCCATGTTGCTCTGGGCCAAAAATGAGGTTCCCCTAAATTTGAATAAATTATCCAAATTCAAATGCCGAGCCAATTCGTTGGTTTATTGTCATCCAAACTGTTTGCCCCAATCATATCTATATATAATATATATATAGGAGGTTCTGAGTTTCATCATCATTCTCAACCATCTGCCCAGTATATATATATATACTGTACATATTGATATGGGGCTAATTCCATGTACATTTCGGAATACACTCTCTGGCATGTGGTTTATTGTCATCCATCCCATAGTGAGAATCATTTTATTTGGTATCTAAATCTGTATAAACCTCTATTACTGGATTGATGACCGTCCCCCAACCCATGTAGTCCAGCCGTTGCCCCCAGCATCTCCGAGTTTGTCTGTCGAGAAAAATATCATGTCTGTTTGTTTGTTGGCTTTACAACCTATGTATACCGAAGTCACAGGCGTAGGTATACACATACGTACACACATGCACTGTACATTAAATTATGTGTAATATGTACATAATATAATATAAATATATATAATATAATGTAATATAATATAATATAAGATTAATAAAATAAAATATAATATAATATAATATTAATATAATATAATATTAATATAATATAATAAAATATAATATAATAAAATATAATATAATATAAAATATAATATAATATAATATAATTTAATATAACATAATATAATATAATATAATAATATATATCATAAAATATAATAAAATATAATAAAATATAATATAATGTAATATAATGTAATAAAATATAAGATAATAAATTTCCATTCCATAACATAATATAATATAACATAACATAATATAACATAATATAATATAATATGATATAATATAAAACATAATATAGTATAATATATTATATAATGCATATACAATATACAATGTATGTATGTATGTCTGTCTGGCTGGCTGTCTGGCTGTCTGGCTGTCTGGCTGTCTGGCTGTCTGGCTGTCTGGCTGTCTGGCTGTCTGGCTGTCTGGCTGTCTGGCTGTCTGGCTGCCTGGCTGCCTGGCTGTCTGGCTGTCTGGCTGTCTGGCTGTCTGGATGCCTGGCTGCCTGGCTGTCTGGCTGTCTGGCTGGCTGGCTGTCTGATAAATATATTGATAGTCAAAGAATGTCAAAGATACAAACAAGGGGTCATTTGGAAGCGATTCGGGGCCTCTTTGAAGCCCAAAACTCCGTGGCTTGAAACTGCAACAAGGTCACCCACTCCAGGTTTTGGTCGAACCTAAGGCCAAGCTTTGAAGACTCGATGGCAAGGTCACCCACTCCATGTTTTGGTTGAAATTATTGTCAAAACTCAGGCTTAGAAGCTCCCCTTGAAGCTTCAAAAAAAAACTGGAGCACACCGACACAGAGCCAAGTTGAAGGTGCAGTCGCATTCGAAGTACGCGAAACGTGTCAGGGTCTGCCCTTCAAATCCATGGGTTGACCGACAGCTACACTTGTGATTGGAGTAGGTGGTTCGTACCTCGTGAAATAAAACATGTTCTTGAGGTGTGGTTTTCTTAGTCACGGAAAAATTCCAGCGTTTCTTTGCCACGAATGGTTTTTTAATTAGACATGTACACATGCTTAGCCACGTCAGAAGGTTACCCACGACATCTACATGTTCTTACCCACGTCTTACCGATCCAAATGGCATCCACAAATAATTTCTCTTCTCAATCTTTTTTCTTCTCGCATCAACCCTTATCTAAGCCCAACCCTACTCAACTCGCCACATTTTACTTCTTCTGGCGGCGTTGCTGTTTGCGAAAAATCTTGGATGCGTCCGACCTGACCCGCTTCTGTCCAGCCGACGCATGTACTGATTCAAGCTGAACCTGCAATGGGTGATGCGAGTCTGAGTCGCCAGGTCGGAGACGAAGGTTGGCATGCGTAATCTGAGCGACTCGTGGAATCTGCCGTGCTTTGAGCGGCCCAGGACTGTCTGAGTATCCAAAATCAATACCCACTTGGACATCACTATTGTTGGCATAATAGACCTGGTAGTCCACCATAGCACAGGAATCCTCGCTTTTTAATGCATCCAAGGCCTGATGCAAGTAGGATTGGGTTTGGCCGGGCAAAACAGCCACAGTTTTATTCCCGTCACCTCCTGCGAAGACAGGCCGATGCTCGAAGGCTGAGCGAAACATGTCTGAGTATAATGTTACTGCCAGATCCCTCTTGTGAGCTTCCTCATTGCTGTAATGAAAGGTCAAAACAGTTACGCTCTCCAGCCCGCAATAGACCACACATTCGTCCTGAAGTGTCCATTCAAGGGTCGCCATGAGAAAATGAAGAACAGCAGGCTTCTTCTCTCCAGCCCATGGACTTTTCAGCCTCCCTGCTGAGACAACCTGATGCTTGTGCACAGCAACCCCCCACTGGACGATGGCTAAGTCTGGGACGGCTGGGTCTTTGATGACGGTTATGTCCTGATCATTCAGCCGGTCGTGTACCAGCTTGCCCAGGACTGCTGCTGCATCTTCTTTCTTAGGTGCAAAATGTGGATCACGTCTCAAAATGGCGCCCTGAGCCTGAGCCTGAGCATCACTCTGAGAAACAGCATCCAGAAGATTTGCTTTTTGCAAGAGCAAGATCTGGCAATGAACGCTGAACAGGTACTCCATGAGTAGGCTGTGCGTCCTTGTGGCACTGAAAGGTTCACTTCCGCTACGCGTCAAGTGGCCAGCGTTCCATGTGAAAAAATTCAGGCGGTGACGCTGCATTTCGAAGGTGCCGGGCACAGCTTCTTGCATTGCAGCTCGCCTCTCGTTTCCGGCAACACGCTCCCTTGCCCACAAGGGACCAGCTCCTTCTGACTCCTGCAGATACTGATCCCTCAAGGCTGTCTGGCTGTCTGGCTGTCTGGCTGTTCACTAGTTAGACTTCCGTTGCTCAAGTTGTGGGTGATGCGGAGCACGAAGTGCATAAAGGGAAGGATATGTTAATCCAAAGGAAAAAAAACATAGACGTCCAAACTCGCAAGCAGCTCGCTCAAATTTTGCGTGGCGAAAAGATTTTAGTCACACAGACTAAAATACAAACGTTATACAGCGGTATAAGGTGAACCAACAAAAATTCGAAATGACCGGGTCACCAACAACCGGGGGTTTTGCTTGTCAGCTGGCACAGAGTCATGTGCATGCTGAGCTATTAAAAAGTCCCAAAAGCTGCCCCGCAGGACTCATTGGCCTGACTCTTTGCGTGGGTATTGCAGCAGGGATATATGAATGCCCACCAAGTCTTGAAGGTCCCTACAACCATCCACGGCATGTTTGATGGTCGACCCAAATGCTTGGCAAAGGATTCCAGGAAATCCGCTGTGCGTCCAAGCTGGGTATGCCAGTGCAAAGTTGTGGACCTTGAGAGTGGGGCCACGGCATCCAAAACTGTCTGAGATGGCCTGGCATAATCCCAGGACTGATAGCGAATGCCATCAATGTCAGCAACTTCCGAGTGGAGAGCAACGCTGGTCCTGGTGAGTATGCAAACCAGGCGCGGGAGCCAGGACCACATCCCGTGCACACTCAAGAGCTGGCAGGCGCGGTTCAAACATTCCTTCGCGTCTTCCAGTTTGTCTGCAGCTGCCACGCCTTGGAACGCCAGCCAAGGAATCATGACCAGGACAGCCTCCACAATGAGGGCATTGGAAGTCGCATTGGGAGCCATCGCTACACAGTCAGGACCCGGAGATGGGGGTGCAAAAATGGATGTCATGACAGCGAAAAGATGAAAAATTATCTGGTCTGAGCTGAAATGTAAACAAAGTTCATCCTTACATGTGAGAATGTAACAATCTGACATGCAAGTCACCATGGCCATCTGTCAAGCGTGACCGGCTGGAGCCACCCGAAAACTACGGGATATAGCTCAACATGGTGATTGCCAGCAAATAAATCCAACTCATCACTTCAAAAATTCGGAAGCTACCCATGCAAAAAAATCGACAACAAACATGATGCCAAAAATCCGAAATGACATGGGCCAGTCGGGCCAAACCATGCACTGGGAGAAAAACCAAACCGTGCATTGCCTCCACATCACGCCCTAGCAAAACTTTTCCAGTCTATGCGGACTGTGACATAAATTTGGCACAAGCACTTCGCAGGCACAGCCGAGCTTCTTGCGGAAGCTGGTGCAAAAATGGCAGATCACCAGAGACTGCGTTGGGTCTTGCTCCACAAGCTGTACGGTATGGAGTCAATGCTGCATCTGTGTAACAGACAGCACGGTCTGAGATGTCGCATTGGGTGGCCAAATGGGCCACCTTTGTGATGAGATTGAACAAAAGCAAACCGCATCCGGCAGGTCTGGAATTTCTTCTGGTGGGCCCAATTCCTCCGACGCTTCAGAGGCATCGGATGGGTCATCATCTGACTGGTCTGCTGTTGGGGCATCCGGTGGCTGAGGTGCATCAGCCACTCCCACTTTGAGAGTTTCTGCATGGCCCGGCAACGGCTTCCATGGAGGCACCTGGATTGCGAAGTCTGGCAATGACACAGGTCTCAGAGGACGAAAACCTTCAGCGATTTTCTGAGCCACTGTACACTGTAAAAGCAATGCCGGCAAGGTATCATTCCGGCTATACAGTGCAACCGACTTGTTGATTGCTGACCTGTGGTCTCCTTGAAGTTGCCTCTGTTCAAGAGGAAGCTGGAGCTGTTGGGCCCAACACAAAATCGTGGTCTTGCATGAATGGGCACCCAGCAGATGAAAGTCCTCTGGTTTCGCTGGAGCCTGATGGGACTCATGACACCTGCACAGCCAATATCGGAGCAGATGGAGCCCTCGATCACGACGCATTGGTCGCAAAAACAAAGGCTTGTTCAGATCTGAACCCACTTTAGTCAGCAAAAAATCGATGGCAAAATCAGAGTACAGGATCTTCGTGTCATACTCCGCTTGTTGTACCACGTTGAGCCAAACCTGTGCTCAATGAGATGTGCCTTGGTGTCCCAACAAGCCGAAAGCATAGCAAGCCACTGGCATGCCACGGTTGGTGGTCTTGGTGTGGGTAGCCACTGCAAACATAGCATGCTGTTGGATGGAAATCGACTCAGGGGCAATCCATGTTGCGTCTGACCAACGGAGGCTAGCCCAAATCAAGAAAAGCAAGCCCCCCAATTGTAAGATATCACCAGCAAGAGTTGACTTGGCCAGGACCATCTTTTCCAAATAGATCACAAATGATAATGGCAATGGGGCAGACTCCCTCTTTTCCCCAATGGCCGAAGATTTCAAATAGGCCTTGCACACGGCTTCTTGCAGAGCTTGTCCCAGGAGAGGAAGCTGGGCATGCTTTGCCATCCAGGTAAGACCTTTATGATATCCAGTCGCAACTCCAAGTGGACCATGAGTGTGCTCGGCTAAAAAATCAGCTAGCAATACTGTAGGAGGTCGAAATGGGCAAGTCTGCAATGTTGATGAAAATTCAAACCATCGAGACCAGATGCGAAAATAGGACTGCAATGTGCTAGGGGCAAACTTCTCAACCACACGCTGCCTATGTTCAACCGATATTGCAGATTGTGAGGTGGCAACCACAAGGCCACTTGATTCACCCATTTGATCCAGGAGATGCAACCACTGTTGTAACAATTCCCGTTTCGCTGAGTGCCAAGCCTGTTGCATCGAGGTCACAGGGGAATTGAATACCACTACAGGCAGAGGTGAACGCACAACTGCAGCGTCAGGGCACGTCTGTCTGTGACTCGAAAACTGTTGAACACCATGCTGCAAAACCTTTGATTGATGTGGCTGAGACGGAGGCTGAACTGCTTCCCTGTATTTCCGACGCACCACTGGAGGAGTCCATGATGCAGATGCATTCACAAAAGGAACAGTGCCAAAATTCCCTTATTCCCTTCCTTCTCCTCTCTCCTTTTGCGTAGAACGGATGGATAGGGGGGTCGCTTCCTGCTAACTTTGAAAGTTCTGACACGCTACTCTTGTTCTAAATAACAACGGGGATAAAAAAGTCCTGCGAGAAGGTGTAAGATCCGCTGTCCTATGTGGGCACACTTGTTAAGGGAGGAACCTGGAGAGCGGGAATGGCATTGCAGTCGGAGTAGATGGTAGGGGTTAGCAAAAAATTCCTAGTCGACGGCTGAGTCTGCAACGTTGATCTCGATGTGGGAAGTCCCCAGTCCGCAGTGCGTGGACCCAAACCTGTAACATGTGGCAATGGACCTCCAGGTTGGTAAAAGAAATCATATTCACCTCTTGAATTCCAGCGTGGTCGAAAACAAGATTCATCTTGCGCAGACTGTGCATCAAAATCTTCCAATGCAGAGGCGTCCGTGTCAGACTGATACCCAAAAAAGTCATCCGTAACCACACCTTCCAGGGCTGACTGGTCTAAAGAATGCGAGGCATCAACAAGTTGAAATGATGACAGC